TTGCAATATTTACATGTGTATCTTATTGTCATATGGATAAAACATCCATAAATAAAGATTTACCGACACAGAAAGCGACTAAAGAGATGCACTGAGGAATTGTTAGACAAGGGAAGTTTTAAATGCTTTAGTCCATTTACCAAATTAAATATGATAAGACCGATGTCATTAGTACATGGTGACAACAGAGTTATTTCTAATGTTCCAAAAGTTATACTACATTAAGACTTACTCCCAAAGTATCATTGAAATTGGCTCAAGAATTACATTTGCAAAGTTACAAGAAATATTTCATAATATTATTAAGCAGTCTTTTGAAAGGCTCCCTGTGTATATTACACATATGAATATACAACAATGAATCTGTTCTATTGTAAGAAAACAGTTTAACATGTACATTAAATGTTGGCTAAACAGCCCCAATTGGAATTAAAAAAACTTGGGGGGGGGGGAGAATAACAAGAACAAGAAAAAAGAAGAACAAGAAATCTGTTGCTCATATCTGTGAGCAGAAGTATCCTTTGGCCAGAACTCTCCTCTGCAATGTCAAATAATCTATCCATCTAATCTTAAAGGTCAGGATGCATTGTTGCTCCCCTTGTCTATATCATCCTTAAATAATTCACACACAGTTATAAAGATAGGAAGTTAACTGATCCTTTCCCTGGCTTTTCCTGAATTATATGTAAGGACCCTAAATGTATAAGAATAGAGAAAATAATTCATTCAGTACACGTTTCTGTTTTGTATTATTCTTGAAGATGAAACAAGATTGTAAGATATACTGTGTTATTTTATATACTACACTGCATAGACAAATAGTTATGGCTATTTTTCAAACCTGTGGATTATATACAGTGGCTTTACCAATGAAGGAAATTTAAGTTATAAATCAGGAATAAACATGATGTAATGTTTATCACATAAAGTCTAATATACTTCCCTTCACATAATTTATGAGAAATTATGATGACATAGAATCTCATATAAAAACAGCTACATCTGAGTATATTTTACTATCCTTTGTATTACAACATGAAAGTTTTAAGAACAATTTTTATAAAGCATGGTATTTGCATTACTATAAAATATAATCAATACAAAGCATATGCTAATTTGCCTGAAGCTTTGAAATATATATCATAATCAAAATAATCACGACTATAGCAAAACATTTATGGACAGATGTAACTGTGAGTTAAGTTTACACTAAAATAAACCTATCCGCTTATACCTTAGTGTGATAAAATTGCATCTCATGGGAGAAATCAAACCATATTGGGAGTCCTCCTGGACCCACAGCTGACTTTAGAACACCATTTGTCGGCTGTGACCAGGGGGGCATTTGCCCAGGTTCGCCTGGTGCACCAATTGCGTCCCTACCTAAACCTGGAGGCCCTCACATCAGTCACTGGACTACTGCAATGCGCTCTACATGGGGCAGCCCTTGAAGAGCATTCGGAGACTTTGGCTTGTCCAGAATGCAGCCGTGCGAGCGATTGTCGGTGCACCCTGGTACACCCACATCACATCTATCCTCCGCGAGCTGCACTGGCTGCCTATTCGGATACGCTTCAAGGTGCTAGTCGTCACTTATAAAGCC